TCCTTTCATTATGCGCGCATAGTCAGCCACTTCCGCAGCATGATACCAAGGGACATCCTCATCTGGCGCAATCCCCTCAGCTCCATCCCGTGGCAGTGCTAAAGTGCTTCCAGGCTCTCTTTTCACTAGCCTTAGTACGACATCACCCCCTTCAAATGGGAGGTCCCCTTCTTGGCCACGGAACCATCGCACAGGCCGAGTTTCGGAGATGTACACAGAGTCCCAACAGATGGGGCACTTTTTCCAACGTGGCTTCTTCTCAGGAACCGGTTTTTCTTCGTCACTCGAATGCATGTAGCGAATCAAACAAGGAAGGCAGAATATATGACCACAACGAGCCATTCGTGGCGCTACCGGCGTGGACAAACAGATGGGGCAACTAGCTGACTGCGTCTGCTCTGATACCAAGACCTGCATAACTGAGTCCCAGTCTAGATGGACATCAGCATTGGCCGCTTGTGCATGGTAGTTGCGATTCGGCGTCACGATAAAACGATAGTTGGCATGAACGTAGCGAGATTTGTCCATGGCATGGTAGCCGGAACCTGGACCCCAAGACGTATAGCGGCGAGTATTACGGGGTGGAGGATGGTACTGAGGACGAGGGGGAAGGGAGAAGTTCATCAGATGAGTGATGGACGTCTGTCCCTTGCGACTGGTCGTGGATCTCATGATGGCCTGCGGAGACGGATGAGTCAGTAAATAAGGCTAGCAAAAGATGTAACTAAAGTCATAGTGAGTGACTGCAGCCACACTTGTCGCACTTCTGCTACAACCCCCAGATTATCTTGCATGCGCAGGCCCCTCCTTAAGCATCTTATGTAAGCCTTTTGCGTATACGATGTCCAGGGATTCCCAAGGAAACTTCCCAAAGTCCTTCGCATTAGGATCCACAAAGAGAACCAAGTAGGGCTGATACAAGGGAGGGGATTCTGGCAGTATGATGTGGCTGGAGTGAGGGTGGTGTAGCTGTAGCCGCTCCCTAGAGCTTCGAGATACGTACCGATTCGCTGTAATCTTCATCATCCAGCAATCGAGGACGCCGCTGTCGTTTGTGTTGACTCCTGAGAGCCTGATTGTGCCTAGGAGTGGCTGAGTTCCTAGCCTGAGATGTCAAGCCAGCTCCAAAGCTGCCAGAACCTCCCGGGCGCCGCTGAGACCGCGGAGAGCCGCTATCGAATGACGATGGAGTAAATGTCGCAGAGGCTGGCTGACTCGGAATGTTCACCGCTTTCATAGATGTGGTAGGAATCTGACTAGGATTGCCCGACATTATTCACTCTGCCTTCTAAGGTAAAGGCGTGAAAGTACCTTCGTATGGCGGGGGCAAAAAAAGCAGTTATGAAGGAAAATGCGGAGATATGACTGGAGTTGCGGTACAGCCTCCGACTGAGGCAGGAGGGGGATTGTGATTGAGCAAGGTAAAGTCGAACAATGAAAGATAGAAAGAAGGGCTACAGAAGCCCCGAGGGCAGCACCAGGAAAGGAGAAGCACCAGAACCCTGAAGCTTCCCCTACCGTAAAAAGTAGTAGAGGCAGAACGGAAGAGGAGAGGCAGATTGAGGGAGGGGCGAGTATGTCATGCCTTGGCGGCCGACCGGAGCCTCAGGCACGTGCTGTACGGCAGACGATTAAGGCACGGGTTTCATTATTAGCAGAAAAAGTATACCCACTAAGTAGTACTGACTGCTCTTCCGCCAAAGCACACGCATCCCTCCTCATATACCAAAACATATTGATGTTTGTACAAACATTGCTGGATCATTTTCAAAGAATGCCTGTGGCTATCAGTGGGGCTCTATGCATGACAGTTCAACGACGTGGAATGCTTTCGTGATATGCTAAATATCGAATGGCTGCTGTTCCTGTCTGTTTTTGTTGGTAAATTATGGTTGAAGCCAGCGAGCCATGACCCTTCTGTATGACCTGATAGTACTAGTAGTTATTGATTCATTAAATTAATCCGTTCGTCTTATGATAGTCCGTGCTTTATATCGGACCCTTTACCCCTTTCATTTATTGTGGGATTGTACAAGCCTTCCGCGGGTAGTATTATTGTTGGTTGCAGTAATAAGCTCCAGGGACGATGATCCTGCCGCAGCGGGCAACGCACCCACTCCCTTTTAGTGCATCCCCAACCTGAATGTTGTTGTTGTTCTTGCGACCGCCTAAAGATTCTCCCTCATCTCCCTAACCCTTCTCCTCGCGTCAATTGCGCCCATTCTTCCCTTCACTTATACCCAATCAATTATAGAACCCTTGGCCTGAGGCCTCTTATGGTCAGCACACAATGACCGTCACTCGATCCCAAACGGGGAAAACCCCAAAGTAAGTCATTTAACTGCGCAAGGGAGTGAGAGTTCCATGGGAGAGAACAAGAAGGCACGATGAACCAGGGACCGAGTGAGGAACCCCAGTCGTGAAATTATCTTACCTTCGGTCTACCCCAATTGCGCTTCGCATGCGAACCTTTCACTCTGCTTCTTGTAATTGATTCTGGCTGACCGGTCGATCAATTCCTCTAGGAAAATGGAGCGACCCGGCTTCATCGAGACACCTGGCCGCCGAGTAACCCGCAGCGCCAGCGCCAGACTGTCAGAGGAACCTTCCGACTCGACAGCTGAAGGGTCGAAGTCGACAACCCGGAGACGCACTTCTGTCAAGATCAAGACTGAACCTGTGGAGGAAGAGTCAAAGCCATTCGCGACCAATGGTCATGCCGAGAATTCTGGTGTCAAGAAGGCTCGGATTGTGGATGGTTGGGAAGAGGGGAAGGACCCCAAAGTCGACTACAGCGGCCACTTTGAATTTGGAGGCTCGTTCGGTGTAGCGTCCATGATGATCGGATTCCCGCTACTGATGTACTACATGTGGATTGGTGCCACCTACTACGATGGCAAGTTTCCTCGCCCCGCCGATGGACAGAGTATGGCGGACTTCTTTGCGCATCTGGGACACCTGGTATACGAAGGTGCTTTCCCGTCTCTCAAGGCTTGGACGATCTATTGGGTGTTCTTCATCTTCGAGGGAATCTGCTACCTGTATCTTCCCGGTATCACTGTGATGGGTCGTCCTCTGCCGCACTTGGGAGGCAAGCAGCTGCCCTACTACTGCTCTGCTGTTTGGTCCTTCTACACCACCATTGTGCTGGCCTCCCTGCTTCATGTTACTGGCATTTTTAAGCTGTACACTATCATTGACGAGTTCGGCCCTCTTATGAGCGTCGCTATCCTTTCTGGGTTCCTTGTTGCTTTCGTGGCCTACTTTTCGGCATTGGCACGCGGGGCGCAACATCGCATGACCGGGTACCATGTCTACGACTTCTTCATGGGTGCCGAGCTTAACCCCAGAATGTTTGGGATCTTGGACTTTAAGATGTTCTTTGAAGTTCGCCTTCCCTGGTACATTCTGCTCTTCGTTACCTTGGGTGCCGCGGCCAGGCAGTATGAAGTCTATGGCTACGTCTCTGGAGAAGTTGGCTTCCTTCTCATGGCGCACTTCTTGTACGCGAACGCCTGCTCTAAGGGTGAAGAGTGCATTGTGTCAACTTGGTAAGTTATTCCCGGAACTTGCGACAGTGTGTCACAGTCTGATTTATTTGCAGGGATATGTACTACGAAAAATGGGGTTTCATGCTGATCTTCTGGAATCTCGCTGGTGTTCCTCTGAGCTACTGTCACTGCACAATCTACCTGGCCAACCACGACCCGGCCACGTACCACTGGAACCGCTACTTCCTCACATTCCTCTACATTGCCTACCTCTTTGTGTACTGGGTGTGGGATACGACCAACAGCCAGAAGAACCGTTACCGCCAACAGGAGCGTGGAACGATGGTGTTCCGCAGCACCTTCCCTCAGCTGCCTTGGCAGACGCTGAAGAACCCCAAGACCATTACGGCTGAGGATGGTTCGAAGATCCTCGTCGACGGCTGGTGTAAGTGCTGCTCATATCTTACCTTTCATGTCATACATTGCGCTAAACTCGTATACTACAGATGGCAAGGCACGCAAGATCCACTACACCTGTGACCTGTACTTTGCCCTTAACTGGGGTCTCATCACTGGGTTCAGCAGCCCCTTTCCTTGGTTCTATCCTTTGTTCTTTGCCTGCATGATCACCCACCGTGCGATGCGCGATATTGAGCGTTGCCGGAACAAGTACGGCGAGGCCTGGAGGGAGTACGAGAGACAGGTTCCTTATCTTTTCATCCCGGTAAGTTCACTGCCGAGTGTTGATAATGCAGACCGACAGCTGACTTTCACGGCTAGTATGTTTTCTAAGCGTCTCGATGCGGCAGCCCACTCCTCGCAGCGCAACCTGGGGGTTTCACATCCCCTGGTCTAAGGTGCAGGTAGGGCCTTACCATTTACAAGCTTCATTGCTTTTGACCGATTTTACCATATCTTGTTGTAATCTCTTTCTTTGCTCGATCCATGCGCTCGAGTCGTGGCTCGACTACGCTGCAGTACATGCATTATGTCTTGATTTTAGTTCTGCATGAGGATAATTCCTCGAGTATCGCATTTCACCTTACCCTGTTAGATTATGAACATTCTATGTACATTATTAGATTGTGCTTCTTGTTTTCTTCTCCATTCGTCTCCGTTCAACTTTCTTTCATTCTTCATGTATTCCCGAACCTAGTTGCGACCAATAGGTAGCAAGCATCTCACTGTATCCTAATTAATACAAGGCAGATACCAATGATATGGTCAAACTGCAGCTCGAACAAAGTACAATTCATCACCCTGCCACAAATTACTCATATAATGGTTGACTTTCCACATCGTCATCCCAATGCCTTCCTCAACTTCAAATCACATGACTACCCCTCCATCTTCGGGAATCTTATCGCAACAACAACTGAGCCCCGCCATAACGTTCTATTCAGAATTAAAACTCTACAATTGACGATTGGTTGCTTGTCCTGAGCTCCTTCAAACATCGAATAGCTCTATACTACGCCTTGTCTACGACAATTGCAAGCTTAATCCACTATGTTGATCCAGGAATCTTTCCACGATGTGCCGACCAAGGCGGACGGCAGTGGAACTATGCGTATGTTACCCATAAGTAGTTCGAGTTTGAGATTCACCTATAATCCACCAGTAGCTGCGGCTACACTTGAGGATGTCTACTAATCTTCCATCAAATTGAATATTGCTGACTTGGTTCCCAATTCAGGCATTTATGTGTTCCACCCTACTATTCCCGGATATCCTAAGGCGCGGTTCCCCGGTGTAGTTGTCTTTAGTGAAATCTATCAAGGTAGGTCGCAAGCTCGATCTCACAAATCAATCCCAGGAGGATTCCCTGTGGTGAGAAGGTATCATTATTGATCACACCTATACATATAGTAACTGGCCCCGTTGCGCGATTTGCTCGCCAAATCGCCGGACAGGGATACATCTGTGCGGCACCCTCGAGTTATCATGAATTCACAGGCCCTGAGCCGTTGAAGTATGATGCCGAGGATACGGATAAGGGCAATCAGTGGAAGATAAGCAAGGTGAGTAGATTCTTTGTCCACTTCATTCAATTACAATTTGTGTCGTGAAACATGGGCAAGGCCATGCTGAGGGATTTTTATTATAGAAAATCGCGGCTTACGATGAGGACGCCTCATTGTGCGTCGACTATCTTCTGTCACTCCCCACGTGCAATGGCCGTGTAGGTGCGACGGGTATGTGCCTTGGTGGACATCTGGCGTATCGCTGCGCGTTGGACAGCCGCGTGAAAGCGGCGGTGTGCTACTTTGCCACGGACATCCATAGTAAGACGTTGGGGCTGGGCAAGAATGATGATAGTTTGGCCCGGGCGGGGGATATCAAGGGCGAGATGCTCATGGTGAGATCGGATCCCTGCGTTTTCATTCTTTCAAGTCCACTTCGCGTGCGCGAGGGAATAAGTAGTGCTAACAGGAGGGATTGTTCGTGTGTTGTCGCAGATTTTTGGAAAGAACGATACCCATGTTCCGCCCGAGGGAAGGGATTTGATCCGCAAGACCCTTCATGACAAGGGAGTCTTGTTTAGCTTTTACGAAGTGGCTTGGGCTCAACGTAGGTGCTCCATTTTGACCTGTTTAGGAAAGGGGGGAGTAGAAGGGTGTGGTCGCTGACAAGGGTTCAATAGATGCCTTTATTCGCGATGAGCTCAGCAAGGGACGGTATGACCCTGCTATTACCAAGGTGTGCTTTGAGATGTTGCTGGAGTTGTTCGGGCGAACGCTGAAGCTGGATCTGGGAGAGCATGATGGGAAGGAGTTGAAGATTGAAGACGTGTGCTAGAGTACTAGAGGATGGGATCTGCGGACTTTGTTGCAGTGGGTGGATGATGGTATCAATAGGCAACGACAATATATCGGGAAACTAAATCGGTGTGACGACTTCCACCATCTGCCCAGCATTTTGGCATTGACGGCATTCTCCGTCCTGCAGATTGTTCCATCTACTAGTTTTACAAGGGCAATGTTGCTCTCTGAACCTCCCTTTAGACGATTCCTTTGTAGTATGATCAATTGGATATACCACAGGTAAGGTATGGATGCAAGGGTGCCGAGCAGACAGATACAAGACAGAGATCCTGGCTTGGCTGTGAGTCCCACTAGGATGAGTGAGATTGGGTGAGATCTAATTTACTTTGTAAAACGGGACATGCATCTTACTACAAGAGAACACGACATTATGCAGCATCAGATAGTTTTCCGGGAAGCATAAGTAAGAATGAACATGAACATAGGATGGATGTTGTTGAACCATGTCTGACCGACAGGGTGTGTGGATATTGTGTGTGGCTGGGGAGGTCCTGCAGGCGTCATTCGGCGAAGGAACCGCGCGGGTAAGACACATCATAGTAAGTAAGTAGTAAGTACAGTCGAAGGATGGAAGAACTAAGAAGATCGCAGCGGCATTTCACATCCGGATTTTCATGCAAGATCGATCAAGCCCCAAGGAAAATGTTGCCTGTCAACTGCTATTATTAGCCCCAATACGTAAGTAGTATGTAGCGATTTCTTTTTTATTTTTGCCATGATTCATGACTGGGACCAAGACGCGGGTTGAGAGCGGAACCAGAATAGAAAATGGAGAAAAAAAATTTCAGGAAAGCCCGAGCCATGGATGGCAAAAAGGGAGAACATGATCCATGGTACTTGAATTGTAAGATTCTGGATATGTTTTCCACAGGGGGTCAAAACTCTGATGAAGTGGAAGAAGTACAGGGGTTGTTGTTAGTATAGACTGTGTCTCTGTTCAGTGTTCACACAGTCTTTACCAGCCGCATGAAGTAATTCCCGCTTTGCCAGCCTATCTGGTTCCTGGATCTGCTGCGCTTCAGCTGCAGGGTTTCCAGTTATGACGGACAATGCCTTATTTAGGGGCCATTCGTTGGCTGTGGATGGCGTCGCGCAACGGGCCTTTCTTTCCTTCTGGGTCTTAGTAGTCTTAGACTGACTGGTGGGATGGACTCGCACTGCCTATCATCGTCACCCGAAAGATCTCCCAATTCAACGCTAAACCCGCGCCAGTCTGGAACTAATTCCATCCCATCTTTTTCCCTCGACGCTCTGTTTTCCAGCACAGCAGAGCTAGACTCGACATTGATTAGTCTATTTCTTGTGTACTGAATTAGTACTATCTCTCTCCCCATCATTTCCCCTCCCCTTCTTCTTCTTCCTTTTCTCTCTCTTTCGCTTTCTTCCGACGCTTTTCGCCCGGACAGCGTGGCTCAGCATCATCATCTTCTTCTTCCCTTCCTCGCTCCGTTGTCTCTCTATCTTCCCTCTCTATTATTCTCATCTTAACTTGATCGATCGTTCATCTTTTCACACAGTCTCATCTAGACTTGTGTATGACTTTGTTACTCGACGACGCTGCTTGTTCCCGTCCCCACACATAACTACCACTACAATACTACTACTGTAGTACACATACCCACCCGGCCCTACAGATCGTCCACCTGCGCCGGTGTTTGAGATTATCGCTTTCACGAATCTTTGGCTCACGCCTCGGTCTCCCTCGACTTGCTGATATTATTTACCCTTCCTTTCCCCTTCGGTTCCTCTTTCGTCTTTCAATCTTCCGATCAATCCGCTCCATCCTTTCCCGCTTTCTTTCAACTGTCCGACTGCACGTCGAATTGTGAACCCGGCCTCTCAGGCCCTCCCCTCCCCCTGGTCTCTCTTCCTTCTCTTCTTTTTCCCTTCTCGTGGGCAGCCTGTCTCTCTCACTCTCTGTCCCTGTTGGCCCCATTCTTTCTCCCGTCATTTCAAGCCGAATTTCCCACCCTGTCAAAAAAAATAATTCTTATTGCTCCTTATCACACTCCTGTGTAATCATAATTGGTGCCCTCTTCTTATTCCCACATTCCAGATCTGCAGCGGAGCCATCGTGACCGACGTGGGTCTGCCGAACTCGATCGAATTATTCACCGTCATCACCACCACCACCACCACCGTCTGACCACACCTACTCTCCGTGACCTTGGTTGCATGGTGTCGCGCTTCGTGCCTCTTTAGCCATGGGTTCGACACAGTTTGGCAATTTCAACGTGGGTTTGCGACTGATCTATCGTCTGCATCTGCCGGAATATCGAAGAAGCTGACCGTGAATGATCTGCATGTGCAGGACTTTTGTCGAGATTCCACACTGCCCGTCTGCAATGTACGTTTTCCCTTCCCCAATTTGCTTTATCCCCAGTTGCCTTTTCCTGTTCCTGTCATCGGCCGTCAATGCTCAATTGATACATTCCATGTGGCTGACCATGTGCTTCCGATAGCTCTTTGTCTCCAACAACCAACCCCCTAATGAGGCGTACGGAGGATGCCCGCTTCACGGTATCGAACTCAGCGATAACCGCTACCTCAGCAATCTGGGTATGGCATACCAGACAGGCTCATGGTGGAATTCTTAGCGCTAATCTCCACAGGCTCGATTCTTCTCGCGTTCATTTCCATTCTAGTATCGCTGTTCCTGCTGTTCAGGTCGGATCGCAAACGGGCGGCTGTCGGAAGGAGGTACGCGACAAATGATTGGACAAGGAATATGGAGGGAAAAGTGCTGATTGGAATAGGGAAATGCAAATATTTCTGCTGGCATTTATCGTCGTTGAAATCTGCGAGATCTTCTCTGTGGGCGGCTTCCCTCTGGATGCAGCAGTGCGCAAGGTTAGTGGTGCGACTCCTCACACGGATTGCTGTGTCTAATCAGCATGCATAGGGCTTCTCCGCTGCACATGTCGCTGCAATCACCGCAACATGCTGGATTCTTTTTCTAAATGCCGTGGTGGGCTATCAATTCCTCGACGACGGTACCCCGGCCTCCATCGGTCTAATCCTTGCCTCCGCCCTGGTTCTCTTCATCGGTACGGGCTATATCGCCCTGGACACGGCTTTCGATTGGACCGGTGAATTCGCGACAACCGAGGCAAACAACTATCGCAACATTGCCCTCTATGTGCTGTACCAACTCTTTCCTCTCATCTGCCTCGTCGCGTTTTATGTGTTGGAGGCTGTCCTAGTTGTTCGGATCTTGGGCGAAGTTCGACCAATGAGTATGTTCACAAATTATCTCCGGATGATCTTCCTCTGTTGCATCTGACTCTAACCTGTCGATAGTCTACTTGACTGCTGCTGCCCTGTTATTCGCCATCGGACAAATCTTTGAATACGTGATCAGCGTTCACCTCTGCCACGCCTCCGGCAGCAAGATCAACGGCGCATTGTTCGAGACACTATTCACTCTTTTGGCAGTTGGGACGATATGGAGCTTCTGGAGCAGCATTACCGAAGACGATTGGCCTATGCCGATAACAACCGGAGGTGCATACCATTAGAGCACTCAGTGCGGAAAGCTCCTCGTCCCCCATTAATACTCCCCTCATTCCCTCCTCATGTCCGACTTGTTTATATTACTTCTCTACGATCCTTGCACATCGGTGCTTCGATACCCGCCCTTTGCTCTTCGCATACTCGACGCGTCCACGGAGTTTACGACGGGCTATGTTCTCGCCATCTTTTGTGATACCTTTTTACGTTTTATGATGTTTTTGATGCGACGTGGTGTGGTTTTATGCTTCGACTATGACTTGATTCTATCTACTGTGGGATGTGTTCTACTTGCCCTGTTGACAAGTGTGATCGCAGCCGGTACCTACCTATCTTTGGGCTTAATTCTTGCTTCCAGCTAGATACCTATTTGCATTGTAATTAGTACGATGACGTTACTTTCCTTACCAACATTTGCAGGAGACTATGGTTTCGCGCTCGATATATCACCAGTACTATAATATGACCTCGGGTGCAGAGACCGGCGATAATGATATAACTATCTATACCCCAAGAATTGCTACCGTACTTCCACAACTACCTACATGGCACCATGAACATAAGAGTGACTACCATATGCACCCGTGTTATCAACGACAATCCGTTTCAGCACAAGATAGGACAAGGATTGAAGAAGATGATAGTTATGTACATAAAAGCCCCGCAGGTTACACCGGAGAATTTTCCCACGAATCCACTCCATACCAGGTCTTTCTTCAAGGAGGACATATATAATATGCATCATGTATGCAGCTAGCTGCAAGTCCACCGCGATTTCTCTATGTTTATATCGACGTCCATCTCGACTGCGGACTTGAACAGGAGAGAGGGTGCAGAGGAGAGAGATGAGGGGAGGTTGTGGTGATGTGAGAGTGAGAAGTAAGATATACACAACATGCGAATGCCGATCTCTTTCAACAAGACAAAACAATAAAATGAACTGAAATGAAGGGTGAGGGCAAAGTGAGAAGAGAACCACAGAAACTAGACCATATAAATCTAAATCCCTCCATATCACTCACCACCACCATCCCCTTCTCCTTTTCCCCACCCAATATAGTATATAAATATAAGTGAACACCCCCCTAAATTACAACCTCACCTTAACATCCACACACGGCAACGTCCATTCCCTCCTCCCCAAAAGACTCCTCAACCACTCAAGCCCAATACCCGTCCACTCATCATGCGCGGAAGTCGTCGTCCCCGTCGACGCCGCCGCGGGTAACGTTCCATTCAGGGCGAGTCTGCGTTGCGCTTCTTCGACGACGGCGCCGGCAAGGGCCTTGGTGGTGCTGTTGACTGTTTCGAAGACGTAGCTGGCGAGGGTTTCGTTGGATGATGTGGTGGTATCTAATGTGGTGGAGTAACGCGGAGAGAACCAGTCACCGCGGAGATCGAAGAAACATTTGTCGGACCAGTGACAGGAGGAGATGAAGAGGATGAGGAGGAGCGCGGAGCAGTAGATGCAGGGTCGGTGGAGGATGTAAGTTAGGGTCACGAAGGAGATGATGAAGAGGGGAGAGGCGTTTGTTGGGATGAAGAGGAGGGGGAGCCAGCTGTATTTTGTTTCATTTAGTATATGATATGATTTTGGAGAGATCGGTATGGTTGGATGGGTTAGGTTGGCTTGCTTGCTTGCTTGCTTACCTCCGGAGACAGAACATGGTGCTGGTTTTGTCGGTGGTCGTTTGGGATAGTGGTTGGTGAGGGTAGTAGGTGGTAGGTATTTGGACGGAATTGCGGCAATGATGTCGATCGGTGATAAAGTGGTTTGGTTTGGTTGAGTGACGGTGACAGTGTGACAGTAAGTAAGAGATGGTGGCGAGGGAAATGTAAGGGAAGGGTACCGGTAAGGTTGTTCGAGGTACCTCACTTCCGAGGATGGACAGTTAATTGGTGAGGTGTGAATTTGAATTGTAAGTGAAACTGATGTCGGTGAATTATGACTCGAGTATAATAACTAGTACTGATGATGATATGGTATTTATGGTTCGTGATTCTTTTTCCTTTCCTTTTCCCTTCATCCTTTTTCCCAATACATACAGACATACCATACCTGACCATACAAGCAAGTAAATCAGCCACACCGCCTGCCAAATTCACTAGCCACAAAAACCTCTCCGCCGTTCATTTCTTCCGCTTCTCGCTTCGACTCGCTCTTCGCCGAGCTTTCTCTTCTCTCTTCCTCTTTTCCCTTTCTTCCTTCCCTTCTCCCTTTTCTCCCCCTTCGTTGTGTACTATAGTCAGTCCGTCATTTTGGTCTTCTTGCTTGTTCTGCTTGCATTCCTTTTTTCTTTCTCCTTCGCGAGTCTGCCTGCTCCTTTTTCTCGCGTTCTCTTTCCTTTGCCTCGCTTGTTGTCTCTCGAAAGAGAGCTTCTTCGCACGACCTTTAGAGCTTGAATTTCGTTTGGAGGTCGCCTCTTCCACCCCGGCGAGTGACAGAAATGTCCACCCCCAATGATCTTCAGGCCCTTCTGGCCAGCATCAGGCCGCGCCCCTCGCCATCGGGCACCCCTGCTCATGATGCTCCCATGCAGCAACAACAGCAGCAGCACCCCGGCCAGTACCAGCCTGCTTACCGCCAGCAACAGCAGCAGTTCCAGCCGCCCTATGACGGCCAGAGCTACCCTCACCCTCAACACCTCCACCACCACGGCTACCGTCATCCATCCGTCTCGTCGAATATCCATAGCCCGTCGCCGGTTAATACTCCGCCTCATCATGGCTCGGATATCCTTAGTCCCAACGTTTCCACTCCGCGTGCGGACATTTATCCCCAGCAGCAGCCGCAGCGGCAGCCGCATCATCAGCCCTTGCCGCAAAACCCCGACCGTGCTGTCAACCTGTTGAACCTCCTCAAGTTCAACCAGCCTCCGGCTGCTCCTGCTCAGCAACAGCAGCAGCAGTCGCCCGCGGTGATGGCTGGGATCGATCAGCCCAAATACCCCGAGGCGCGTGCTGCTGCTCCGGAAGAGGCTTCGTCGGGCCATGCGAGGAACATCTCTGCGTCCGACCTTGTCGCGTCGCTCTTTGGACAGGGTCAATCCACTGCTCCACCTGTTAGACCGGCGGGTACTCACCCTGGTCAGCTTGGGGCGGCGGCTGCGAGTCCCGGTGTGGCGGAGAGCTCCTCTTCTGCTGCTCCGACCGCAGAGAATACTCAGGAGATGTTGCTTCGTCTGCTGAACCGCCCCAAGCCCGCACAGGACGTGTCGGAAGGACCTGTGAGACCTGTCTCTCAGTCTCCATCTACTGTCTCTCCCATCAAGTCCCCCGTGCCCGAGGCAGAGTTGAGAAACATCCTGCAGCCATCTGGTCCGGTTGTCGGAGAGTCGGCTGCCCGTCCGGAGGAGCCTCTGTCTGGGAATCTAGACAAGCCCTCTGGAAAGGAATCGATGTTTACTTACGTCAATCCATTTGAGCAGCTGGCTGCCGCCTCCCCTCGAGTCAAGTCTCCTCAGCCTAAGTCTCGGAGTGAGAGTCCAGCCGTGGAAATCATGAAGACCAAGAAGGTCAGCATTGCTACCAAGGCTGAGAATGCGCCGGCGCCCAACCCCGTGGAGTCCACCGAGGATAAACGCGCCACATCGCCCGTTCTGGCCGAGGAGCAGAAGGAAGCTGTTACACAAGTGGTTGACAAGCTCGTGGAGGAAATCAGCCGTGAGGTGGATACTGCTGCTTCCAAAGCTGCGGAGCAGCAGGTGTCTCAGATCGCGTCAGCTCAGGAAGAGAGCGCTCAGGCAGTTATTTCGTCTGTTGCTTCTCACCTGCGCGAGACGGCGGCTGAGGCGAAGGAGGACACTGAACCTGTCAACAACAAGACCGACAAGGAAGAAACTGAAGGCACCGCCCCGTCCCCTGCTGCGAAGGAGACTTCTCAGAGTGGCAGCGGCGATGCGCTGGCCGACAGCTGGGAGAGCGCGGAGGACAGCGCTGAGAAGGAGGAAGAGCGTGTCGTCTCCGTGCATAACTTCCCTCTGAAGCCCTTCATCTCCATCATCGTCAAGGCCCACGCTGGGAAACTTGCAACTCTGCGAGATGACGGTATCATGGACATCGCTCGGCTTAAGAAGGACTTCGACCAGCTTGATCGCTCTTTGACGTCCGCTACTTCCGACTACATCGTCTATGCATTGGCAAAGAATGGAGGCATGCGTATCATTCGTCAGGACGACGGAAGTGACAAGCAAGTGTTCCGCTCCGCTCGTGACCGCGTGTTCAACGTTGCTGTCTGTACTTCGCAGGCGGTAACTGGCCGCAGCACCGAGGAACAGGCGCTCCTTGGTATTGGCGTGAGCGGTGCAGTCTACTGGGCCTTGATCTCGCGCGCCGATAAGGATCTTTTCGAACTGGACGCTCTCGAGAGCGAGAGCCTCATTTTCCCACCTTTCCCGGCCTCGGACGAGAACACTTCGGGCGGCCAGCTGAAAACGCGGGCCAAACGGAGCTCTCGCCATCCTGGTTTCTTTGCCATTGGCCGTGGAAAGAACATCTATGTTGTTTCGCCACAGGCTGCTATGAACCCCAGCTATGGTGTCGCAGGCCCCCAACGCGTCGTCAACACTGAGAAGTTCTTCAAGGAGCGTGCTCTGAAAATCTCGACCGGCAAGGCCGGCAAGGACTTCATGTTTAGCGACGACGACACCGTCATTGCCTCTCTTGACAAGACCGGCCGACTGCGCTTCTGGGACATCCGGGAGGCGATTAGCAATCCTGCCTTCTTTACCGCTGGGCCTGGCCCGGCTGAGGTACGAGTTCCATTGAACACTTTCGTTACGGGTTCCCCTACCGAGAAGTCGTGGCCCACTTCGGTGCTCTTTATCGACAAGCTGCGTCCCTATGTCAAGTCGATGGCGCTTCGTTACGTGCTGGTGGGTCTTAAGCAGAACCACACCCTGCAGCTCTGGGATATTGGGCTGGGCAAGGCTGTGCAGGAGCTCAAGTTCCCCCATGAGAACGAGTCGGACGCCATCTGCAGTGTCGCCTACCACCCTGCGTCAGGCATCATTGTCGTCGGACATCCCACCAGGAACTCCATCTATTTCGTCCACCTGTCCGCCCCCAGGTACAACCTGCAGGCGATGTCGCAGGCTTCTTTCATCAAGCGCTCGGGTGAGAAGGATAGCAGCCTGCCAAAGCCGGAATCTACCGCATGCATGAGCGGCATCCGCGAGATCTCCTTCGCCTCCAAGGGACAGCTGCGCAGCTTGGACCTTCTCCCGGTCACTAAGAGCGCTGGCGACGAGAACGGCTTGTTCGAACTCTACGTTATGCACTCCCGTGGAGTGACGTGCCTGAACATCAAGAAAGAAGACTTGGGATGGACCTCGGACAACAAGATCATTCGCCCTGTCAATGCGTTGGAAGAGGGCCTCATCGATATCGCTGAACTGCAGACCTTCCCCACCTATGTAGCAGACGAGCCTTCGGTCAACGGTGATTCTGCCCCTACTCCTACCAAGCCTGCAGTTAAGGAGATCGCCAAGAAGATCCCTGAGTTGAACACTGAGGCTGCCGCTGCTCCTGCCGCCGCCGGTCCTAGCACTCTGCGTACTCAGTCTCCCACCAAGTTGGTGACGAGGAGGCCCGCCCAAGAACAGCCTGAGCCTGCTACTACTGCTACTAGCACCGACAAGGCTGATAAAAAGAAGAAGAAGAAGAGTGCTGCGACAGCCACCCCAACGGGTGAGCCATCCGTCAAGGGCAAGGAACCTGCAACCGGAACTGAGCCCATCACTGGTGACTTTGTTGCCTCTATTCAGACTCCTGCGAGTGCTGAACAATCCAACGGCGATGTACAGAAGGCATCTCTTGCGCCTACCCCCGTCTCGGCTTCTGCTCCCTCGGCGCCCTCTGGACCTGGCCTGGTGACTGTCGACTCTGCAGCTGTTCTGAGTAAGCATCTGGAAGCCTTGCAGAGTGCTGTGTCATCCGAGTTCAGCAAGAGCCTTGGCCGTGAGGTGGAAGGGCTGTATCAGCGCTTCGATGAAGAACGCCGTAGCTGGGATGCGGCCTCGGCAGCCAAGCAGGATCAAGTCCTGCGTTTGGTCTCGAGCACCCTGTCTGACAATGTGGAGAAGAATCTGGCTCGCATCGTGTCGAGCAACATTCAGACTGAGGTTGTGCCTGCTTTGAGCGATATCACTACCGCTGCTGTCGGCAAGCAACTTAACACCGTTATTTCTCAGCAGATCGGAGGTGTTGTTCCCCGTGAACTGCGCCAGGCCCTCCCTGAAGCCGTCACTCGCGCCGTCCAGCACCCCGATTTGATGAGAGTCTTGTCGGATGCTGTGGGCCAGAAGCTGGCTAGCCAGGTAGAGAACGAGGTCTCCAAGGCTGTTCACAACACCGTTGCCCCGGCTATTCGGAATGTTGCTGCGCAGTCTGCGGAGAAGGTTGCCAGCTCCATGGAGAAGCAGATGCAAGCTCAGGCAAGACAGTTCGAGCTGCAGCGTCAGAATGACGCCGCCAAGATTGACCAGCTCACTTCCCTCGTGCGAGAACTCTCTGAAACTGTTTCTTCCATGGCGACGGCACAGACCCAGCTCCAGGGCGAAGTTTTGCGACTCAATCGTGCCCTGGCCTCCCCGGTGGCCCAGCCGGAACCAGTGCAGCAGCAACAGCAACAGCAGCAGCAGCCGCAGCAGCCTGTTGCACCCGCGGTTACCGACACGAGCACTCCCGAGCGAGTTGAATTGGAAGAAATCGCTGAACTGATCAACGCCGGTCGGTTCGAAGAGGGTTCAGTCAAGGTGCGTCTTTTTTATGAAACTGTTAAGGACTTTGCTAATTGTGATGTAGTGGCTCCAATCCTCCCAGCAGGCTGACCTGTTTGACAACCTGTTTGTGCGCCTGAATCCCTCCTACCTGACCAGTCTCTCGCCTATTGTCAGTCTGTCTGTCGGCGTTGCTGTTACTTCGTCGCTGCAGACCAACATCATGCAGCGTCTGACATGGCTGGAAGTGGTCCTGCAAACGGTCAACCCGATGGTATGTTTAATCACCTGATCTTAATGCATGCACCTGTACTAACAAGACATCAGGACCCGGATATCCGCGAGCTTGTGCCTAGAATCATGGACATCCTCAGCCAACGGCTCGAGGCGCTGTACATGTCTGTTGCCGAAACCTCGCCTCACGACCCCATCATTCGCAAGATTGCGCCTCTGTCGCGCCGTGCCCGGCTTCTGCGGGGATGAATTGGAAAAGAAGAAGTTACAGAACAAAAATGGTCTACGTCCTGGTCTTTGATGAAATAATGCCTGGATGAGTAAACGCGGAAATGTCTAGCCGCCGCTTGCTTGCATATGAGATGCGAATAGTTGGTTGGTTTTATGGAACCAGTCATTGATTTGATAATATCTTAGCTTAATATTATGAATGACGAGGTTAGCATGATGCTTTTTGTAAATTAATATGTAGACGTAGCCTTCTCAAACTCTTTTGGTGTCCATTGGATCAGGACTTGGTAGTTATACTAACAATACTGCACCCACTACCTACCCACACAATGCCCTTTTCATGACGCCTATACCATATGCATCTATACCCACACCATAAAATCAAGCATGAAACGCCACTCCCAACTCAGCACTCCCCTCTCCACTCCCCTGCTCTTCCACAAACTCAAACCCCAACGCCCGCCAATTCAACTCCTTCCGCCAATGCAACCCATAATACTCCCTTTCCACCGACCCATCATCATCCTTATCCTTCTTCTCAGCAACATTCTCATCCTCATCCCTAACCTCGTCCCGACCTTCCTCCACAGGAACCGGCCCAACCACCGGCTCCGACGCCAACCCACCCGAGACCATCCTCCCCGACCGAGGAAACACCACAGCCCGAAAGCGCGAGAGCAACAGACCCATACTGCAGCAGATACATGGCTCATGGGTCAAGTATACATCTAGATCAGTGCAGAGGTATCCGCCTTGAGAGCGGGGGCGGATGCGCGATGTCGATGCTGACGCTGATGCTTCTGTCTCGGTGTGAGTATGGATAGGCTGTGCGGAGGTTTCTGTAGTCTTTTGATATTTCTCCGGTGGGGGGACGGGGGTAGATTCCTTTGATTCGAATTCGGAGTTGGGTTCGGTTGGTTGTGTACTAGCAGCAGCGGTAGTGTCGACGTCTGATTTAGATAGGAAGTATCTCTCCACCTCGGTAAGACAGGGCCGGTTTGTAGCTGATGAGCCTGGGCGGTCTTCGCGACGTTTACTGGCGATGAGGTCCACGGCGCGCATTAGGGCGTGGAGTTCGGGCCCGCCTTCGTGGTCGGGGGAGTAGGTTGTTGCAATTTGGTTCGGAGGGTTGGGGGTTTCTTCTGTGCCCGTGGCTGCCCGGGTGTATCGGCCGTCGCCGGCTACTGCCACGACGGCGTCGGACCAGTGGATTCCATCGTCGTTGTCATTGTTGTCGGCTGCTGCTGCTTCTGCTTCAAGGTCTGGGTCCACGACAACGGCGCCGACACGGCGACCTAGACCGGATCGCTCCGCCTCGTCTGCCACCCTTTGCGCTAGAGCGAGGTACTGGCCTGCTTTGGGCTGGATGGAGTCGCGCGCGCGGGCGAGGATATGCGGTGGCGGGGCGATCATGGCGCGCGGTGCGGCGGGGTTGTAGACGACTGGCCACATGCTTTTGGACCAGGCATCGGCTTGGACGGGGGTGAGGGGTGGTTGGAGGGGGATGCGGATTGTGTGGAAGGTGAGGCTCGAATTGTTGTTGTTCTCCTCCGGAGCAGGGTTCGGGGGCGCGAATGGCGATAGAGCATCTTGGAGGGACTCGATATCAGGGAGAGGTGGGGAGATGAGCACGAAGATAGTCTGCGCCGGCGAGGATCCCTCGCGCAGGAGGATGGGACGGAGGTGTTCGGGGATTTGGTTGTGTTTTGCGAAGCGGCGGAGGTGGCTGAGTGGTTGGGAGGAGTCGCGGGGGAAGCGGGAGTCCAGGACTCTGTGGTGTTGGAGATGGAGGTGAGCTGTGAGGGGGTTGAGGTGTGTTTGGGGGTGGAGAGCTCACTTGATCACTTTGGAGGCACATTTGACGTTGACTTCCGTGACGTAGGCGTCGGCTGGGGGTGTTGTTAGATGCGTGTAAGGTCATTGTGGGGAAGATTGGGCAGGCGCACCGTAGTCTTCGCGGGGACGTGTTTCTTGGACGGTCCGGATTGCGGTGACTTGGCCCTCGAGGGGCTTGATGCCGCGGAGAAGCTCCTCGACGTCCATTGAGTTTGGTGGGTTGTCTCGCGGGGTGATGGCTTTTATGGCGGGGTTGCGGGTGGAGGAGGGGTAGTTTGACGATGGGAGGGGAAGAGTGAGGATGGCCGATGTGTCCGATCACGGCATTCTTTCAATGCGAATGCTCAATTTGGTGGAATTAGCTGCGCCGTATGGGTCGAGATGTGAGAGCGGCAAGATGAAGCTGAATAACTTTCCGTCTGGATGCACGGGATTGCAGACCCTGTGCCCTAGGACCTAAGCCCTAGCAGAGAAGATGGATTGGGACTAGAGGAGTAGGAAAAGACGTCATGTCATGTTTCTGCACGGGTAAGCAAATACAGCCAGCACTGTCTTTTTCGATGACGCCTAAACCACTCGGGGTAACGGAGCGGGCCCAGCGATGGGTCGAGTGGGTGGAACATAGTGGGCCAATCGATCCCTCTATCGTCCGAGAAGAGTGAAATATATCATGTATTGTGAATGCTGTACAGGGTGTGTATACGAGTAAAAACCAGACACGACACTAGAACGGAAAAGATCAAAAGGAACAAAAACGGGAAAACGGTAAATCAAACAACACCAGCCATAAAGGATATCGATCGCTCCCCGCCATCATAATATGCAGAAACAACATCAACTCCATGTCCGTGTATGTGTGATATGTACTGGTACAAACACATCGTCTTCCCACAAACTCTCCAGATAGTAGTAGTAGTAATCCATAGCTTGCGCCATCCAAGCCCAGAAATATATGCAATCGATCTAAATCTTCATGCGTGGCTCGCAAGCACCTCAAATGTCGACGTCGGAGAAAAGAAAGGATCAACTGTCACGTCCGATCGCATACCCATCACATCGCTCGACCAAGCTCTTGTAGTAGTCTACAAGCACTTCGGGTTCGGGCACGATGCGCCACTCTACGCGGAACAGGAACTCCAACTCAAGCAGGGCTAGCTCGGTCATGGTGATACCACCCACCCGAGCGTAGGTTTTGTTGGTCCAAAAGCTGTCGCTTAGACCCTTGCTAGCTACCGTGGCGCTCGCAATGAGGAATCGATGAATCGTCAGACTGGACACGGTGAAGGCGGGGTATAGAGCACAGAGCCGATCAATGTAGTACACCATGCTCAGAAGGATCGGAGGGGACAGCGTAGCATGGGTGGTGAGTCGCTGGAGGTAGTCATGCACCGAAATTCGCGGCGGCGACCGCGAGTGGAAGCGAGTCAAGCGACCTTGATTCAGAGGGATCTTGTCGTTAAACCGGATCAGCTCCATCAACATACTCGAGATCAACACAACAATATCCCGAGGATCCGCCAGCTCGTACCGCTCCGGCAGCAACTTGACTGCCGGAACGTCCGGTCGCATTCGTTTCGTCTGAGAGCCCTCGAGGTCAGCGTGAGCTAGACCCGCGGCTCGCTCACCACCGACCGGAGGGTCGTTCGGGCTGTTACGTTTGTTGGACCCGGAGCCAGCGCTGTTGGGGACCGGCATTGGGGGAGTCGACGTAGATTGGGCACCTGAGGCGGGAACGGAGGCTGCAGGTACGGCTGGGACAGACACGTTATTGGCAGGACGATCCTGAGCAGGGCGCATGGGATTGGAGGCGGGAATGGCGGCGTCAGCAGGCGGATGAGACGTGGTGCTACTTCCGCCCCCAGAGGAGGTCAGCCCGGCGGACATGCGACCGCGAGGGATATCCCCTGAGGGCCCGGGAGGGGATGAGCCAACGGTATGCCGGTTTAGGGCCGATCGAAGTTCTTCGATGGCCAGCCGAGAGGATTGCGGGTCGAAACGAGAGTTGGAAGATGCAGCTGCAGAAGAAGCGTGCCCGGCGGGCTCATAATGCTGACGCGCAGGCTGTCGGGGATATGAAGAGTAGGAAGAAGAAGAAGAAGGTTGGGAGTGAGGGGACGGATGAGGATGCGACTGAGAATGGGGAAGGGGATGAGAATGGGAATGATGAGTGGTATTGGTAGTAGTGGTGGTGGTGGAAGGGGAGGGGGATGGTCGCAGGGCGGCGGACGGAGAGGGCGACGAAACTAGCATTTCCGCCCAACGAGGCCACCACGTGGGCGCACGACTGAACGACGTGCAACGGAGCTGGCAGACGCTGCGAAACCTTGTGCTGCTGCGAGGGGTGAAGGTGGCGTGCACAGACGCATCGTGATCTGCGGGGGAGAGAAAGGGAGAGGAGCGAAAATATTCAGCTCTTCAAGGGATGGAAGGAGGCTGAAAGGCGGGGAGAGAGAGGAAGAGAAGAGGGAAAAGGGAGAGGAGAAGGGAAAGAAAGTGGAGGAGGATTGAGATTAGAAGAAGTAAAAAAGTACTAGTAGAGAGCAAGGAACTCCGACGAGCGAGAAATCATATACTAACAATGACGCCGATCCAGCAAAGAGAGGGGGTTTTTCATTGGGAAAATTTCTCTTCAAACCGGCCCGTGTAAGTTTGACAGTAACTAAAAGTGAGTAAAAGTCAGTATGGGGCAGTACGAGGACGGTTTGATACGCAGGGAACAAAGCAGGGAATCCCGCCCTGCGTGGCCCCATTCACCAATAGGAGTCGCCGCTGGTCGGTCTAATCTCGGTTTAGTGTCTGCCGTATTACAACTCCCCTGTTTTTTGACGCATCTCGGCAAAAGATTCAAATTACTACTTTGTACTTCGGACTCGCTCTTTTGCTGGTTCGTAATAGGAGATAGATACTCAATTGGGTACAGTGCAGCCATGAATTGGGAAGGCGGAGTCTTTTTGACACTCCCCAGAAGATCTTACATGACATACTATATGGAGCACTGCGTAGAGCTACTCAGAAGTGCCTGCTCTGTATTTTATAACAGTGTGTGTGTATACTACTACTAGTAGTCCCGTATAGATAGTAACTTGGCGTCAGGTGATGGTGACACAGACCTATCAATCTATCGATTCCAGGGGAGCAAACGAGGCGAGGAGCTGCATCCCTTTTGGTCTATAGGCCAAGAAGCTTCTCTCCTGTCCTTCCGAGTTTCAGGGAGACCCTTTCTTCTACATCCATCTCCCGGTCACTTGTTAAGATCATGCGATACTGCGTACCAATCTACCCCCATCACCCGCACTTCGGTTCACTACTAGTAACAACTACTCCAACTCCTCTCCAACTCCCCGAGAAACCCTCAAACAGCAGCTTCTACTTAGTGACACCATTGCTTCCCTTCTTCCCCATTATTGAAAGCTATAGTTCTTCATGCATGTCTCCTTACGGTTCACAATTGATTGCGTCCCTTGTTTGGCAGTCGGGGCACGACCTCAATACCATGGGATACATGGTTTACTACAGTAGTAGTACTACCTCTTGAGACTTGAGACTGCAGCCAATACTGATAGGGCTGAATCACATGATGGCCCTGCTGTGTCCGGCGATAGATGACTCAGCACTGTCAGCTTACTACGCAACCGCAACCATCAGGTGACATCACCTGACGGCTCCGGCCGAAAGCGGTAAGAGGCAATGGCTCCCCGGGCAGCAGGACCAAAGTATCACCACTAAGTCAACGTCCAGAAGCTCCCCCCAATCTCCCCCAGTCCAGCTCAAACCCCAGATCCCTTGGTCGCGGATCTCGTTTCTATCTATTATCTCTCTGCTTCATTCCGTACATAGCCTGTACTGTTTGTTATTACTCTGTCATATTTGCTAGACCTTCTCGGAATCTCATTTTCTTTCCTTGTGGTACTAATCCGGTACTTTCACCACTCATTTCAGTTGCAACGCCATTACAATTCACAATTGCTTAACCATCGCCTCCGGCCAGCTGGCGATACGCACGCAACCTTCCCTCTGGTCAAACACATCCTCGAATCTCTTACCCTCCCTATTCCCCCATACATTGTCCAGTTTATTCTCTCTTTTATTCCATACCGCCAATTTCCACGCGATCAGCTTGACCCTCTAAATTCTCCGACGTAATCCATTCAAGATCCCTCCCGCGGGAGGCGGCGATTGCGCACTATGACTCGCGCCTCGGCCCCTCCACTCCTACTACAACTACAGAATGCAGAAACGTTGTCTGCCCAGGCAGCTGCCCTACGAAGTCTGAAGAACGAGACAATTGGTCATGACCAGCGCAAAGAGTCCTGGGTTCGATGGGGGATTCTTCCCGTGTTAGCCAATATCCTGGCCGCCCGGCAGTCTCCCGGAAAAGGCACAGCTTCCGCGGAGCTCAATGGGGGATCCAAGCTCCGCTATCCTACATCGGAGGAAGATGAAGCTTGCCTTCAAGCAGTCATTATTTTGGGGAGTTTAGCACAAGGTATATAAATTCACGCTCTGGTCAATCGGGTACTTTACACGTACTCTTATCTCGGCACGGGAACTGATGATCGAGCAGGCGGTGCGGCCTTCCTTTCCCCCATTTTCGCCAGCGGTGTTCTCCCGGCCCTTCTGTCCATCCTCTCTGCGCCGGGGTGTCCCTCATTCTTCGTTCTGCCGATTCTCCGAACCCTCAATAACGTGGCGGATCGACTGCCGCTCCAGAGTCAACAGCTATCGTCCAAGGACACCCGCTTGGCCGATCTGCTCTTCTCCAACGATCACATTGGCTGCTTAGCCCGTATCCTCGGCCAGGAGTATGAAAGCCATCACGATCAAGCAGCCATTGAACTTACTGCATCTCTGGTTGGTAAATTATGCACGGAGGAAATTCATAAGGCCATCCTGGCGGAGTGCGGGGTTTTAGACGCCTTGGCCGTGAAGGTGGCTTCTTTCATCGTTGCCCAGGGCTTCGTGCTCCCCGGTGCGGAAGCACATGTGCAGGATACAGGTGCTCTCGGTTCTCTGCCAGCCCCTGCACCAGCAGGAGCTAAACTGGCACCAATTCTTCGTGCCGTCACGGTCATAATCGAGCATTCCAAGTGGCGCGCAGAGCACTTTCTCTCATCCCCCGGTATACTTACTGTGTTTCCCAGGCAGCTCCCCGAGTTTGCTCCGACAGACATCAAGAAGGGACCATGGGGCTCAACTTACTTTTCTGGTTCCGCCGTTCCCCGCCATGCAGGCGCAAGTCCCTTGGAGCACCTTTTGCCATCGGTTCCCTTGTCGCAGAGCAAGTCACCGGCGAACACTCCCAACTTTCCGCCTTTAGGCCATCAGGGTACCACGCACCGCCGACACAGCCAATCGTATTCTACGCCGATGTCCGCTTACGATCCTCCAACCTCTGAAGACGAGGAAAATCCCATCATTCCGTGGCTCCTGTATATTGTCCGTGCGGAAGGTGGTATGGTTCGGTTGATGGCGGCTCGTCTTGTGACCGTCCTTTTTCGCTTGGGCCTAACTAAGAAGCGCCGGGTCTCTATGCTGTGCTACCTGCTGATACCGATCTTGATTCGGATGCTTGATAAGGACTACGAAATGAACGGCGACGATGGAGTACAATACGGAGGCTTGATCCCTTCGACTGAACGTCTTCGTGAAGAGGCCCCGTTTGTGCTGGCTACCCTAGTGATCGATGATTTCGAGCTGCAAAGGCATGCAGTCGATGGCAATGCCATCAAACGACTCTCTCAACTGCTCAAAGAAACATACAATCCAGTCCAGGATGTCACTCGTCCCATGTGGCATGCCGATGCTGAAGAAAGTATCGATAGTCCCCCCGACACATTGCCCGCAGAGTGCCGCCTGGGTTCCCTGGGCTTTTCTCCTGTTCACTGCCATATCATGCGATACCGGGAGAATATTCTCAAGGCTCTAGCAGCTCTAGTCCCTTTCAAGGACGAGTATCGCAAGGCTGTCTGTGAGAACGGCGTGGTACCGTACATTATCGACTCACTGAAGCCGTGTTCGGACGACCAATCGGCGGACCCGTCAGGTCCTAAGAATACCGCTTCGCATGGCAACCCGACTTCAACCCTGTTAGCTGCTTGCGGTGCCGCGCGGATGCTGACGCGCTCTGTCAGTGTTCTGAGGACGAGTATGATCGATGCCGGGGTGGCGACGCCTCTCTTTGTCTTGATCAAGCACCCCAATATTGAGGTGCAAATCGCTGCGACACAGGTGATATGTAACCTAGCCTTGGATTTCAGTCCAATGAAAGAGGTTAGTTCTGCCATACTTCTGCCACATAAGAGAATGCACTAACAGGTCTAGGCCATTATTACCGCCGACGTTCTCCCCACCCTTTGTGAGCATGCACACTCTCCGAACACCAAGCTTCGCATTGAGTCGCTCTGGGCGTTGAAGCATGTAGCATATAATTCCACCAACGACGTTAAGGTGAGAATTATTGATGGGTTGAGCCCCGCCTATATCCGGCAGATTATCACCCAAGATCCGACCAACGCATTGGCCAAACGAGGGATGGATGAGGAGATGGACAACGGTTCCAACGTGGGGATGGGTCGAGCCAACTCAGCAGGGGAGCAGGTGGACCTGCTCAACCCGGTTGATAACGCCGCTGGGCAAGATGAGGACATGAAGATGGCAGACACAATGCCCCCGTCCAAGATGAGCCTGGATATGTTCCTTCCGGATGCCACGAGACGGCGCAAGTTGGCATTGCACGGTAATCTCGACCAGACAACCCAGGCCCGGCAGGATGATATTGCAGTACAAGAACAGACCTTCGACCTGTTGCGCAATATCATCTGCGGGCCAGGCGCAGCCGAAATGATTGATCATTTGTTCAAGGTGATAGGACAGGACTTGATTTTGGATGCGTTGGCGGATAAGCTCCGGCCCCGGTCGATCCAACTTCCCCACCGGGGGGAGTCGTCAGCGCACCGGCCTCTGAGTGTTCCTACAGAAATCCTGGTGTCAGTTACCTTTGTCATGATCCATCTCGCTGCGGGCCTTCCGTGGCACCGCCAGCTTTTGGTATCACATCGGGACTTGCTACGCTACTTAATGGGGTATTTCAATCATACCCATCGTGAAGTCCGCACCAATTGTGTGTGGGTGGTGATTAACCTGACATACAAGGATGATGCGAGTGAGGAGGAAGGGTGTCGAGAACGGGCGTTCCGGCTACGAGCGATGGGAGTCATGGATCGGCTGTCCAGTCTTGGGGATGATCCCGA